TTTTATTTATTTATGTGTGTGTGTGTGTGTGTGTGTGTGTGGCCAGCTCAGCCCACCAGGGGGCGGGCTGGCTGGCATGTGGTGCTGGGGGATTGAACAGCGGTCCCTGTGCTTTGCTAAGCTTGTTCTAAGTAGGTGCTTTAGACCACTGAGCCATCTCACCAGCCCGAGCCCTTCTTCTTGAAGGTTTTCTTTTCTTTTTGGACTTTCTCTCTTTATTATTCCTTATTTCTCCTTAAGTAGCTGCCCCTTCATTTTCTCTAAGTGTCCTGTGAGCTGATGACAATAGAAATGCTCCTTCTATGCCAGTCACTGTGCTAAACTCTGGCTTAAAGCTCACAAGAATCTTATAGAGTATACACTGGTAATCATCCCTATTTTTTCTGTGGAAAAATTTTCTGAGTGACCTTCAAACTGCCCAATGTCACCCAGCTAGTAAAGGCCCGTGCACCACAGAGCCCTTGCTGACAGCTGTCCTGTTCCTCATGCTCCACAGGCTTTCTCACCTGGACACCCCTTTCAAAGCACACAGCCATCTCCACCAGGCCCTCAAATCCAGCATGTCCACAGGCAGGCACTGGGGTGTACTCACTGCCATGTTTGCACTAGTTAGCACTGTGTGACTCTTCCAGTCCCTGCTGCTTGGCACCTGTCCTCCCCCTTGGATAGACCCACCCTGCCAAGACTCCCCACGTACAGTAGCCCTGGCATGGTGCTAGGGTGAGGGCTGGTCCTCAGAGGTGCTACACCAGACCAAACAGCTTCAATAGCACTTCTGCCTCCTCCTCATCCTGTCCCCCCAAACCAGTTCCTCCTACTGACTTCCTTATTTCAGAGGCCCACACCTCATTCTCCAGTTCCCCTTCTTCAGAGCCAGCTGTTCCAGGCCTCTTTCCTTCCCTCTGCTGCTACCTTTCAACTTACTGGCCTCACCTGTGCCTTTGACCTTGTCTATCTCTGTGCTTTCTTTCCCTTCCTCTGCATCTCTTTTCCCTTCCCCATAATCTCCACCCTGAAACAGCCTCTTCTAGCTCTGGTCCAGTTTCCATGGCCTCCGCTAAATGCCAGTCCCAGGCCCTTGTTCCTGCATGTTCTCAAGGTCGGGTGTTCCAGATCAAGCTTTCCTCCCAAGTTAGCCACCATGCTTGCAACAGGTGGTGGTTTTATCCCTGAAAAGGCCACCTCCATTAGTGTGCCTTAAACAGAAAGTACTTAATAAACACTTCAATACGGCAAGCCAAAAGTGTAAATAATAATAATAATTTTTGTTTTAAATCTAGTAAGCCCGCAGCATGTGGTGTTACTCACCTGTTATCCTAGCAACTCAGGAGGCTAAGGCAAGAGGATTTCCAAGTTTGATGCCAGCCTGGACAACACAGGGAGACCTTGTCTCAAAATACAATTTAAAAAGTGCTATGGATACAGCTCAGTGGCAAAGCACTTGCTAAGCATTCAGAAGACCTGAGACTCAGTCCCCAGTATGGCAAAAATAAACTTAGTAGACTGATGCCCACTTGTGCTTCTAAAGTTTTCCTCCTTATTCAGTCAGCTTTCTCATACTACCAAGTCCTACCGGCGAAGCACTGTGACAGGACCTGGGCACTCAGCTGTGGTTGACACCCGTGGCTCCTCTCCAGGAGCTCCAGGTCTGAGCTAGAAGGGAATTGCAGAGTCGCATAAAGAGTCCAGTGACAGTCCACAGCAAAGGAGTCGTGCAGGCTGCTATGCTCAGACATCCCACTCCGTGCCATTCTAGAACCACTGGCTAAGAAGCTGACCCAATGCTGAGCTCAGATCAGCTCTAGGGTCTTGGGAATGTTGCTTACCTCCCCTGTGGCTCAAATTCTCATCTGTACAGTAAACTGTACAACTACTCCACAGGGTACTTGTGAGGTTTAAAGGAGTCACACATGTCAGATGTTTAGAGTAGTACTTGACAGTGTCCGTGCACACTTATGTTTTTTGACATCAGTGGTCACAGGAAATTAGAGACATGAGAATATACCTTGCAGACTGTCACTTGCAATTTCAGGTAACTTCTGGGATTACAACCCAGAGGTTCTCTCCCCAGGAGCTCCACACAAACTCTCTCAACCCAGACCTCCTCCTGCTGTCTCCCCTGAGCACTCCTGCAGATATGCACATGGGACAGCTGGGGAAGGCGAGGCTAAAGGCTGCAGCTCTCACAGACTCACTCATCCTTTTGGCCTTCTAACGCTTTTGACTCAGCCAACAAATATTTGGTGACGACCCACTAGGTGCCAGTCTGTGCAAGGAAGGTGGTGCTAAAGGTGGGCACATTTCCTGACCACAAGTGCTCATGTGTCATGGCCCACAAATTTGTTCATTTGCAAGCACTATGAAGGAACAGAACACAAGCTGTGTGCCAGGGTTAAGTGGGGTAAGAAAGGCTTTTCAAAATGTTTGACATCACTGGCCATTCAAGAGATGCAAATTAAAACAACACTGAGGTCCATCTCACCCCAAAAAACAATGGCTCTCATCAAGAAATCATCTATGCGTGGTGATACACAACTGTAATCCCAGCCCTTGGGAGGCTGAGGCAGGAGTATCACCACAATAGTGCAAGACCTGTCTGGGTTACATAGTAAATTCAAGGCCAACTTAGACTACACAGTGAGATATGTACATATATATATAGAGAGAGAGAAACATAGCAAGCATTGGCAGGGCTGTGGGGAAAAAGGAACCCTTCCCACTGTTGGTGGTGTGGACTTGTGCAACCACTGGGGAAATCAATGGAGAGATTCCTAGAAACCTAAAACTAGAGGTTCCATTCAACTCAGTTATTCCCCTCCACGTGGATCTCCCCAAAAGAATTCAAAACATTATATCCCAGTGATATATGCACACCCATGTTTAGAGCAGCAGTTTGTAGTAGCTCAATCTTGGAAACAGTCCAAAGGTCCATCAACCGGTGAGTGTGTATGTGGGGGTTTTATACAATGGAGTATTGCTCTATCATAAAGAAGGACAATCTTGAGACATTTCTAGGTAAATGGATGCACCTTGAGACTATCCACTTAAGTGAAATATATCTGACACACGTGTTTAAATGTTTAAATACCAAATTATTTCTCTGTTGTGAGGAACCAAAACTGCAAATAAGGCCAAAATATATACTATATATTGGAAAATGTTCAAATGAGAGTGGGAACAAGAGAGGGGAGGAAAGAAGGTTAGGACAAAGAAAAAGGATTGAAGGGAAAATGGAATAAAGCTTTTTATAAATGAGTAGAGGGACTGAAGGGACAGGAGGGGAACGGAAAAAAGGAAGCAGAATATATCGTGTGCGGATACAAATCCCCTATGAATGTTGCCATTATGTATATTTAAAACGTACCAGTAATTTTTTTAATGCAAAACCAAAATAAAAATAAAATACAAATTAAAGAATAATTTTTAAATGTTAAAGAGAAATGGAAGGCTTTTCAGAAGAAGTGACATTTGTGTTGCGATCTGAAAACCCTATCACACTTTAAGGAAAGGCAATCTGCTGTGCTTTTTCCCACAGTGACTGGCGACCCCAAAGTCCCATTCGGTACCTGAAGAATTATTCCTAGTCCTCCCATAAAGGTGAGACGTGAGACTGCTGCCCCTGTCTGTGCCACCGCCAAAGCTTTTCACTGAACAGGTGAGCACTGCCCCCGAGGATCTCAAAACCTCGGTAATCAGGACCTCACAAAACAGGTCTACACTTAGCCCCTGAGGCCCCACAGCCAGCTCTCTTCACCCGCAGGCCACTGCCGGGCGACAGCTGTTAACTTCTAGGGGAGCAACACCTCCCAAGAAAGGAGTTGGGACAGCTGTGGGCCCACGTTTGGGTGTGCGACTTCCAGCTCCTGTCTGTGAGACGCAGGTTCTAACCCTAATTAGGGGGCACAGGTCCTTGTGGGGTGCAGGGGATGTGATCGGATGGGGGAAAGGGCTGGAGAGAAGGGAACAGAAACTGCTGCCCACGACTCGGCCAGCCCGGAGGGCTGAGGCGCTCCCACCAGCCCTAGGGTCTCACGCCACTGGCGACCCTGTGCCCCCCACGGGCGGGGAGGGAGCGCGGCTGCAGCCCTCGGGAAAGCTCCGCCGGCGGCCCGGGGGCGCGCACACCCGCCCGGCTTCCCAGCTCCGCTTGGACACCGGGCCGGGCGGTCGCTCCTCCCTTTGCGTCTCAGTTTTCACCCAGGAGTTGAAGGGAGATGAAGGGTCCTCGGAGGCCGCGCTCCCGGGGCTCGAGGCGGGCGCTGGGGACTAAGCCGAGGGCCTTGCGGGCGCGCGGGGCGCAGAAAGCGCGGGGCCGGGAGCGGTCGCCAGCGCCCCGCCGAGTGCGAGCGCGCGGCCCCCGGGCCGCACTGGGGCGCCCCGGCGCGCAGGCCTCGGCGGAGGGGTCGCCCGCAGACTCACCCAGAAGTTGCCCTTAAACAGCGAGCCCGTCATGCCGGCGCAGGTCGGGGGCGCGGAGCGTCGGGGCGCAGCGGGACGCGCGGGGAGGGAGCCGACTGTCTCCGCCCGCGGCCGGGCGCTACTGCCGAGTTCCACGGGCGCCGGGCAGCCGCCCTGGGTCCTAAGCCACGCCCGATTCCGCCCGCGGAGTCGGCCCTGCGATTCCCTACGCGCCGGCACGGGGAGGAGGGTTCCTGGAGCGGCGCAGGGTGACTGGGAACTAAAGAGCCACGGGGACAAACAACCTCCTATGCTTTGACCCGAAATTCCCCTCCTTTGGGGAGCCTTTGAAGATTGGAAAAACCCATCCTGTCTCCCTTCCCCGCTCTACTCAGGTCCCTGGCCACATGACCCCCTTGACCAACCCAATGAATCCTTGCGCAAAAATCCAAGTCAGTGGGGTGGTGGGAAGAGCCCTGGTGTCAAATTAAACAGAGGGTGGTGGAGAGGACCCTGACAAGGCCAGGGCACACTTGAGTAAGGTGTAGACACCCGGAGGTGCAGTTGGACGGACCTGGCAGTGCCATATGGTTTAGTCTAAAATGTCATGGCAAAGTCATCCTGGCTGTGTCCCCCAGACACTAGGACCTTCGGCTGGGTGCTAACAGGTTCTCCAGGAGCTCATCTTCTCCGAGATCTCCTTCCGGTTCCCAGGACCCAAGACCCTTCATCAGTCCCAACCCAGCAACCCAGCCCAAGCTTCCTTCCCATCCCTCTACTCTTCCACCCTCATAACTGTAACCCCAGGGCAAGGCAAGTCCATCTCCCCCTAGCAGTAATAAGCTTGATGCCAAAGTGCTGCCCCATGCTTCATGCCTAGAGAGGCTGAATGACTTGGTCAAATCACAGCTTATTTAAAGGCAAGGTGGTCAAGGTTAGAGGTCTGCCCTTCTTGGCAGGGCCAGGGTCCAAATAGCCATCATCTCTGGGACAGAGCCACCCTGGGTAAGAAGCAAGTGTTCAAGGAGTGGAGGATGGAGCCAAGGGTACCAAGACTGGTGCATACCTACACCACAAACCCAGGCTTGGAAAGCAAGCACTTCCTGTTGAGTAGGTTCTAGCTAGAGCTAGGCACAGAGAACTGGGCTTGCTGAGGTGACCAGAAGGACCTCTAAAAGATTCTGCCCCAAAACACTACCCCATGTCCTGTTGTGGTGAAACTCCATTAGGAAAGTTATCAACAACTGCAACACTGAGGAGCTGGCCTCCAGTCTTCAGTCTCTCCAGAGACACAGCTGTTCACTTATTGGTGGCACATGGTTTGGAAGCGGGGAGGCCAGAAGGGAAGACAAGAGAATTCTGGAAGCACCACCGGCAGGGGCCTCGAGAGGCTGGTGGACTCCAGGAGGATAGGCTAAGCTGCAGATAATAAATAAACAAGCGCTCTGTGATAGGAAGTGTAGCTCAGTGGAAGAGCATATATAAGGCCTTGATTTGAGTTCCAGCATTGAAAGAAAAAAGTTTTAAAAGGTGGACGTGGTGGCACACATCTGAAATCCTAGCACTCTGGGAGGCTGAGGCAAGAAGATTCCAAAGTTGCAGCACAGTATGGGAAATAAAGAGGGCTGGGCCCAGTATTCATGAGGATCATTGCAAGTTCAAGACCAACCTAAACTGCATAGTGGGACCCTAACTTAAAAAGACAAAGGAGGGGCCGGGGAGATGGCTCAGTAGGATAAG